CCCAAGAAGGGAGGAAGGGTTGTAGGACCCAGTAGGGTACTACTGGAAGGGTAGGAATGGGAGCTCAACCACCCAGTGGGGGGGTGGGAGCAGGAAGAGTGAGGTCCGGTGTCTGAGCACTCACTGGGTCGTTGAGGTTCCCTCATGGATTGTAAGAATATCAATGTAGACATCGATATGGATCAAGTCAGATGTTACAGGGAAGGTTCACAGGTGGTGGCACACTGGGGTGGCAGTTACAACCACTGGGCAATAGTCTGAGGTTGTATATATGATAAAGAGAACAATTCCAGCATCTGCCTTATACATCATATGACTTCTAACTATCTAATATAAAAATCATAATGGTCAAAGGAAGTCCCTTGAAACTCAACAAATCCCCCAGCCGGCACCAAAACCCAGTGGGAAAGCTTGGCATGGGGTTTGACAAAGAAATAAAGTTGGAGGGGCTAAGGTTTGATTGTCTATAGTCATGGACCATAAGATTCTAGGTCTATTCCCATAACAAGGATAATTGGTCCAAACTCCTGCCTCTCATGGAGTTTGCATACAATAATGCTCCAAATGCCACCACAGGCATCTCTCCATTCTTTGCCAATAAGGGCTACCATCCAAACATCACCATTCACCTAGAGCAAGACTTGACATCAGTATGTGCACAAGAGTATAATAGGAGGGCTAAAGTGGGAGCTCAGTCTCCATAAATGAAGAACTGAATTACTATGGTTAATACTAACCTAAAGTGGGAGCTATAGTACAGAAGAGTACAGAGTAAGTAATGTAACAACTAACTAAAAACAATGATACTAACCTCAGTCTCCATAAATGAAGAACTGAGGAGAAAAGGAAAGTAGAGCGGAAACAGTATACAATTATATACATTGTGTCATGAGGCAAATATGGATGTAAGAGAGATCATGTGGTGTTGGAGATACCGTTCTCAATTTTCTTGCAGATCCAATGATGTTGCACATCAATATGCTTTGTTTGAGCATGGAACACGGGACTCTTGGCAATAGTGAGTGTGTTAGAATGGGCGGATTCAGACGACTCCGGAGTGGAATCGGAGACTTAGTGTGGAAGGACCTCGGCCTCAGCGACTCAAGCGGAGCGCTGTGCCATTGCTGGTTGTCCTGGGGGTCCCTAATTTCAGATCCAGCAGAGGGAAAGTCTCTTGGGGGAATTCATGTCGATTTCGGACTGAGGTTACAAGTTACTAGGTACATTGTATATAAGGAGGGGTCCGGAATCAAAAGGAACAAGGGTAAGACAAAAGGAGACAAAGGGAGATGGAAAGAGGAACAACACCGAGGGTCAAGTGTTTGACTCAATGGTGTTCCCCAAAGGAGGAATGAAGGGCCAAGGCCCAAGGAGGAAGGAAGGAGGATGGGAGTCGGGAATGGCTAGCTGACTGAATAGAAAGGAAGCAGCAGCCCAAATAGGAATGAGGGAGAATAGCGGAATTGAAATGGACAATGCAATAGTTGCAAGGTCCGGAGTAAGTCCGGAAAGTCCGAACTCGGAGGTTAAACTCCGGAATATTGGCAGACATAATTAAATGGAATGAGCTAACCAATACAATGGGTATAAGCGGAGGTGGGGTCAAAGTCCGAGGTCGGAGCTAAGACTGGAGGTTCCGGAGACAGAGACGCGAACGGGATTCCGGAGCGGAGGTCCGGAGTCGGGAGCATAGGTTTTGCATACTCGTCTGGAAGGTGTCGAGGTTGGGGTCGGACCCGGAATGTTCCAGAGTCGGACCGAAGGTGGTGTCCGAGCCGGAGGTGGGATAACCTCTTGGGAGTCGGCAAGGAGAAAGTGATGGAAGGGAAGTAGGGCTCCGGAAGTCGGAGTTTGGAGTTTCGGGAGCCTGGAGCGGAGGTCAGGATTGTATGGATATGACAGAGTGCTGATTGATTGTCGACCAAGATTTTGACTGGGATTTCATCGGAAAACATCCCGGAATCGTCGAATAAGTTGTCAAGGTATGTAGCTTCTTTTCCAGCATGTGTTGTGGCCATGTACTCGGCCTCCATGCTTGATAAAGCGATTGTTGGTTGCTTCTTTGAAGACCACACTATCATGGCACCACCGAGAATAAAGCAATAACCTGACACTGATCTCCTTGTGCTAGGATCTCCAGCCCAATCGGCATCAGAATATCCCCATACCCCTCTTTCAACCTCTTTCCATTGAATGTCAAGACTAAGTCATGCATCCCATTCAGATCTCGGTACACATGCTCAATAGCGGATAGGTGTTGTTGTCCAGGAGCCACAGCATGTTGAGATAATAGTCCGACAGCGAAAGAAATATCCAGGCAGGTACTGATCGCTGCATACACCAGCGACCCAAGCACTGACCGGTAAAGCGTCTGACCGATCCCCAGTGAGCCCAACCCCCCAAACCCCAAGTTTGCAGCCATTGGGGTACTCATTGGTCATTGTCATATCCATACAATCCCAACCTCCGCTCTGGGCTCCTGGAACTCTGAAACTGACTCCGGAGCCCTACTTCCCTTCCATCACCTTCTCCTTGCCAACTCCCAAGAGGTTATCCCACCTCCGGCTCTGACACCACCTTTGGTCCAACTCCAGAACATTCCAGGTCCAACCTCAACCTCAACACCTTCCAGACAAGCATGCAACACCTATGCTCCTGACTCCGGACCTCCACTCTGGAATCCCATTCATGTCTCCATCTCCAGAACCTCTGGTCTTAGCTCCGACCTCGGACTTTGACCCCACCTCTGCTTATACCCATTGTATTGGTTAGCTCATTCCATTTAATTACCTTTGCCAATATTCCGGAGTTTAACTTCTGAGTTCAGACTTTCCGGACTTACTTCGGACCTTGCAACTATTGCATTGCTCCATTCAATTCCACTATTCTCCCTCATTTCTATTTGGGCTGCTGCTTCCTTTCTATTCAGTCAGCTGGCCATTCCCCACTCCCATCCTCCTTCCTTCCTCCTTGGGCCTTGGCCCTTCACTCCTCCTTGCCATGTTCTTGGTTTTATTTTACTCACTATAGCAGGCCGTGCTCCGGTCCTGTCTCCAATACGAGGGGCTCAATCTGCATTGTCACTCATGAACACCAGGCGGCTCACAAACCAGCTGGACTGTCCCGAAAATTAGCTGGAAGAACGGTTGGGATCCATCTCAGACATCAGCACTAGCATATCCGTCTGTGTGTGCGTGTGGCCTGAGTCCTGCCCACTTACACATGCTATCTAGGTTCACCCACACCCTGGCAACCGGGTTTGAAGTTATCAAAGGAAAAAAGACTGCCGATTCGGTGAGTCTCGGGGGCCATCTTCTCAGAATCTGTGTCAGAGTCTGGATTGCTGTCAGAGGCTGGGATATTGTCGGAGTCGGAGATTGTGGCAGAGGTCTGTTGGAGCGCGCGCGCGCGGATATGCGGGCGGAAATATGCGGCGCGTCCGGAAGCGCTGTTCAAGGTTAGCAGAGTGGGATCGCGGCCTCAGCGACTCAGGTGGAGCGCTGTGCCCTGAGCTTGACGTTTGGGGGAGATCCCGTATTTACGGATTGACACTCACAGCGGACTTCAAACAAGACTTGCGGGCGGAGCGGACCTGTAGGAGGAGCGCGGACTCCGCGAGCACGGACTCAGGGGGGGAAGCCCCCTTTGCAGAAGGAGAGACTCAGACCAGACAGGGGGGGTACTCTAGTTGATTTCAGACTGGGGTCCCCGAAAGTATTTACAAGGTAGATAAATAGGCAAGAGGGAATATAGAAAGGCCGGTCAGTCCGGCGCGGTCCGGCGCGGAGATAAGCGGGGATTGTCAAACTAAATAAGGACAAGAGCCCGGGAACTGGAAACGAGGAACAGATCACTAAACAATAAGTGGCAAGGGTTATTGATGAATAACTGAATGAGATCAATAACCTAGTGCCAATAAAGAGGGGATCAAATGCCGATATTGGCAGGGAAGCAAACAATAAATGGCACTCGGCAAGGAATGAATGATAAGCTGCCAAGTGACAAATGGCCAGAGGGAAAGCGGAGGTCAGCGCGTGGCGCCGATACAAGTCCGCAAATAAGCGGGGTCGGTGCGGTGCCGACACAAGTCCGCGAACAGAGGTTGATCTGCCAGCACTGTCACACAAGGACAGCATGAAGGCCAACAGAGGTACAGAGGTGGGCAGAGGGTGCGGAGTGGGCAGAGGGTGCGGAATGCACGGAAGCGGGGCATGGCTGTGACCACATAGCGGGAAGCGATGAGTGTGGTTCAGATGGAGACAAGGCAGGCATGACTGAATGCCGGGAGCGCCAAGGGCTCAGGAACTGGAGGTAAGGTCGGAATACCGGCAGGGTCTCGGTTCTGATTCTTGGCCAAGTCTCACACAGCAAGGCAGGGGGCCAGACATGGTGTTGGGGGCTGGTTAGGATGGGTTTCGGGTCGGCGGATTCGCCTATCGGCATTGGTTCGCCGCTGACGGAGCCCCGGGATTTGTCGGTCGTGACAGTATCCCCCTCTTAGGGCCTGAACCCTTGAAGGCCAAGACCCAAGAGGCTCAGCTGATGTACGGATGTGTCCGGCTGCTAATCGGATTACCACTGCGATGGTGCACATGGTTGCATTCGGAAGGTTGGAAGCGGATGCCCAAATTCGGAAGAGGTTGGTCGGAGAGCGGGAAGGTGATGGCCAGGGAGGATCAGAGAAGACAAGAACAGAGGTCTGAACAGAAAAACAAAATGGCAGAAAACAGGAGAACAAGGTTCAGATCAGATCAGAAAACAGAAAAATGAGTGACGGGAGTCGGAGAGCGGGAATCGGAAGGTGAACAGAAACGGATGGGAAATCAGAAACGGGAGGTGATACGGAAAATGGAAGTGGTCCGAGGCCAAAATGGCCGGGGCCCAGAGGTCTAGGGCAGACATGGCTCAAGGCCAAGAGTCGGAGGGGTGATTCGGGGCCGACGTGGCTCCGGATCAAGAGGCAGAGGGGTGTCGAAGGCTGAGAGGCCTAAGACCAGAGTTCAGAGATGGAAAAGGGCATGGCCCAGTTTTCCAGAATGACTGCACAGGCAGCAATAGTGGGCCTGGCATCAGAGGCGCACATGGTGGGTCGAAGGTCTCAGAGGACCGGCGAAGCGACAGAGGTTGAGTTGGGTGGGTTGCTAGGAGCAGGGACATTGTGCTGTTCAGTACCCATCCGGATCAACGGATCACAAGAGGGCGATTCAGTTGTCCTAGCATGATAGCGACCTAACCAACAGCGGAGTTGCGGAGTTGCGGCAAAAACCTCACCAGTGGCAAAGCGGAGAAGCGGCAAGGGTCGGGAGCGAAGGCTAGTGACCAATGGCGCAGACAGAGTGACCAAAAGGCCAGGGGGCAGATGGTGAAGACTAAGCATGGCTTAGGTCTCCCAGGAATGGTGCATGCTCAGTGGGTCGGGTGTCGGAGTTGGCTCAGGCGGATTTGGGCTGGAATGCTTGGGTGTGCGACTTTGCCAATCAGTAACCGGCTAGATCAACGGATCATATGGGTAAGTTGGCTGTCTTAACACCATGGCATATCAGATCCGAGGTAGGAGAGGGGCTTGGAGACCACACTGGCAGCGTGACGGAAAGGAATGACGGAGAATGAGGTGGCAAGCAACGGCGAGACCTCAGTGGTATGCACCGAGTCTGCTGCTGGGGTTCCGCAAGATCGGGAGTGATTTGGGTTTCAGAGTTGACTTATGCGTGCCCGTGAGGGGCTTACCGCAAGTTGGTGTTCAGGGGAGAACACTGCAGAGTCACAAGCCTGAGGGGCTGTGGAAGAGGTGCCTCAGCGGAGGTCTTTCAGAGGAGCGGGTCCGCAAAGGGACTTATCGCCAGAGGGTGCCTTGATAGGGAGGGCTTCAGAGATGCGTGTATGCTCAGGGAGGCTTATTACACTCGAGAGAGAAGTCGAGGGTGTGAAGGGAACCAATCCTCATGGCTTGGAGTGAAAGAAGCAGATGGTTGGATGCCTTTGAGGACGGCGCGGAGCGGAAAACATCGGCGGGACCATCAATGGTTGACTTGGCGACGTCCTTATCCCCCTCTTGGGGTAGACGTCCCATCGTCTACCTAGGAACAAACGACACCGAGTTTCCAGGCAGAGGCAGAGCTCGTAACGGAGTGGAGATTGCAGAGGAGAGACTTCAACAGGCTGCCTAACCAGCCAGTTAAGTCCAGACAGAGCTGACGGAGGCGGAATACCAACAAGCGGATTGCCCAGCAAGTTGTAATCCAGAAGCGGAGTGGTAACGGAGCGGAGGTTCAAGCGTGCAGAGTGCAACACAAGAAACCAGATGCGGAAGGGTGACAAGGAGTAGCAGAGTTAGGATTCTAACAAGCAGGTTATCTGCGAGTCAGAATGCCAAGAACGGAGTAGGACTCCAAGGGAACAAGGAGGTTGGAGAGGACAGGGAGTGATAGACCACAATCATTAGCGGAGTGAAAGCGGAGGCGTGAACGTAAATCCCAAACCAAGGAGCGTGGCGGAAGTCAAACACTTATTGCCTATAGTGGACTGTACCAACGGGTACCAGCACCAAGGTCGAGTTATGTAGACTTGGCCAGTCCCAGGTAGGAGGAATGTCGGAAGGCTCAGAAGCGCCAGAGGCTGCGGAGGGTGGTCATATCGGCGGAGCGGCATAGGCGAAGGCGGAGTTGCAGAGTGATGAGAAGGGTGTGGCTCTTCTCCAGAGATGAGTGCCCAGAGGGCGACAGAGTCCTTCAACCACAGTACTCAGCAACGGCCGCAGTACTGATGGTATTGATGGCAGAGTTAACGGATTAGGGGATGACAGGGAAGTGGCGGAAAAGTGCAGAAGGCGAAAAGAGAGCGACTCTTCTCTCAGAGGGGTGCCCAAAGGCAGCGGAAATCCTCAGAGGCCGGAATTGCTCAGCGACGGCTGAAGCAATATAGGCGACAGAGTGATTCCGAAGTGGAGGGGAGCATAGCTCACAATCCCAAAATGTGAATGCCCAAGCAAAGGCCAGAGCCCTTTTGTCAGAATGCTTAGCTAGCAAGCGGACGGGATAGTGGTGCTTGACAATCAAGTGCTGACGGTGAATCAGGTTCAGAGCGCAACCAGGGAAAGGTTCCACCAGCTGCAGTGCACGGTTTTTGTTGGACTGGAATGCAGAATGCACAGACCTAGTGACTGCCCAATACTCGTTGATCAACGGATCATATTGAGTGAGCTAGTCGGCGTCCCAGAACAGAGAGCAGGGTCCATCCAACGAGGTATGTCAGAATGACAACAGAGAGATTGCACCGGAAAAACAGAGGTGTTTGGCGACATCATGTCCACAAACGAGGTGATGTTCAGATCCGCAGAAGCGGAAAATGAACGGCGACGTGCGGAGTTGGACTGATGGGGTGACGGAACAGAGGAGATGCTTGGCGGCAATTATGCCCACAAACAGCATGCGATGTTTCAGCAGGGTGTTGCATAGCGCAACCAGAGTTGGAGACGGAATTGGATTGGCAGGTGGATCAAAAGCCTCAGCAGGGGGATCAGCCCTCGAGACGGGATCGGAGCGGAAGAGCAGAGAACCTAAAAGTAGGTTAGAGGGAATCAGAGAGAGCGAGCGAAGAATCCGAAACGGAGATCAGAGAGAAAGCAGAAATCAGGGAAAACAGAGAGAACGAGCGACATGTCCTGAAAAGGAAATCGACCATTCAGAGAACAAAAGGAAAGACAAGATTATGACGGGAGACAGAAATCCCGGAATGGAAGACAAGTCAGAGCCGGGGGTATACCCCCTTGAACTGGGGAATCGACCATTATCAAACCAAAAGAGAAACAGAAAACAGAAAAAAGAAGGAACAGACTATTTGTTTAGTCTCAGAAGAGACGCCCGGTTTGATTTCCGGACATGCAATCCTGGTTGCTCAAGCCAAGGATGCACAGCATGGAGGTCTTTGGTAGTCTTTGGTAACCTAGACCAGACTGTCCGCAGACTAACAGAGGGTATCAAGGATTATGGAAAACAGATAACGGCTGAGGGTAGGTGCACGGGTACAGTCTCGCCGAGACTTTCGCCGGACTCCTAACCACTCATGCCACGCAAATACGGAAGGTGGCCCCGGGCTGAAAAGCGTCGGGTGCCCAAGATACTCTCCTGAAGACGTGGCATCAGGGAGAAAATCCACACGACACCGCAGATATCCAAGTCGCCCAAAGAATGGGTGATTGAAACACGATGGTGAAGCGGGAATACAGAACAGGGTGGACAGGGGTGGTGCAAGCCAGGCTAAGCAGACTGGACAAGCCGGAGGTCGACAGAGGTGACAACTCATAAGGGAGTCTGACCATGATTAGACCAGCGACGCACGAAGCGCCCCCGATTATCTGTAGTCAGGACAACCAGGTGTCAAGATTCTGGAGGTTGCGGAGTTGGTGACAGAGGTTAGAGGCGCAGGGGTGGGGTGCCGAGGTCGATGATAACGCGGGTAGAGACCAAGGCGCATCCCAAGCGCGTCGGAGGATACTGAGTGAACAGGAGGTGCCTATTTGACCAACTTCCAGGACTTTGGAAGGGGTGAACAGAGGTGCAAAGCGGCAGTGAGTTGAAATCAACTGCCAGCTTGCCAGATGTTCGGATAACGGAGTTGAAGTGAATGAAGGTTGCCCAACTGAACTACTTCCAGGACTTTGGAAGAGATGCCCATAAGGGCTCAGAGTGCCAGCGACTTGCTAGCGGCGCGACAGAGGTCGGATCGGACGGAGATCGGATTTTGGAAAGTCAGATCAGATAAGGACAGATGGGGTAGCGATAAGGATGACAGAGGTTGCAGGAAGACTGGATAAGAGATCGGAAAGGACATGAAGAGGCCCCCCACTCAGGCTCGAAGATTGGAGTAACCTAGAGCACAAAGTGGTATGGCCAGGTAGAGTCGGAGCAGAATGAGAGGTGAATCCAGAGGTTATCCAGCGACCTAAAAGCCCATTCTGAGTGCCTATCAAAAGGCCCCAGAGGGTCAGAGAACGCGGGTTTGAGCCATGATGGCATCAGGGAACCCCAGAATCCCTACTGAGCGCGATCCAGCTTCAGTGGGAGTGTTGTTGGCGGATGTGCGCGACCGTGGGAAAAAAGACGGAATCGGCCGGGCATACAGATTGACGGAGTTGGGGATCGCAACGGGAATTCAGAATGGAATGACGGAGGAAGCATCAAGCCCAGATTGAGTCTGAAATACTGTCAGAGTCTGGATTGCTGTCAGAGGCTGGGATATTGTCGGAGTCGGAGATTGTGGCAGAGGTCTGTTGGAGCGCGCGCGCGCGGATATGCGGGCGGAAATATGCGGCGCGTCCGGAAGCGCTGTTCAAGGTTAGCAGAGTGGGATCGCGGCCTCAGCGACTCAGGTGGAGCGCTGTGCCCTGAGCTTGACGTTTGGGGGAGATCCCGTATTTACGGATTGACACTCACAGCGGACTTCAAACAAGACTTGCGGGCGGAGCGGACCTGTAGGAGGAGCGCGGACTCCGCGAGCACGGACTCAGGGGGGGGAAGCCCCCTTTGCAGAAGGAGAGACTCAGACCAGACAGGGGGGGTACTCTAGTTGATTTCAGACTGGGGTCCCCGAAAGTATTTACAAGGTAGATAAATAGGCAAGAGGGAATATAGAAAGGCCGGTCAGTCCGGCGCGGTCCGGCGCGGAGATAAGCGGGGATTGTCAAACTAAATAAGGACAAGAGCCCGGGAACTGGAAACGAGGAACAGATCACTAAACAATAAGTGGCAAGGGTTATTGATGAATAACTGAATGAGATCAATAACCTAGTGCCAATAAAGAGGGGATCAAATGCCGATATTGGCAGGGAAGCAAACAATAAATGGCACTCGGCAAGGAATGAATGATAAGCTGCCAAGTGACAAATGGCCAGAGGGAAAGCGGAGGTCAGCGCGTGGCGCCGATACAAGTCCGCAAATAAGCGGGGTCGGTGCGGTGCCGACACAAGTCCGCGAACAGAGGTTGATCTGCCAGCACTGTCACACAAGGACAGCATGAAGGCCAACAGAGGTACAGAGGTGGGCAGAGGGTGCGGAGTGGGCAGAGGGTGCGGAGTGGGCAGAGGGTGCGGAATGCACGGAAGCGGGGCATGGCTGTGACCACATAGCGGGAAGCGATGAGTGTGGTTCAGATGGAGACAAGGCAGGCATGACTGAATGCCGGGAGCGCCAAGGGCTCAGGAACTGGAGGTAAGGTCGGAATACCGGCAGGGTCTCGGTTCTGATTCTTGGCCAAGTCTCACACAGCAAGGCAGGGGGCCAGACATGGTGTTGGGGGCTGGTTAGGATGGGTTTCGGGTCGGCGGATTCGCCTATCGGCATTGGTTCGCCGCTGACGGAGCCCCGGGATTTGTCGGTCGTGACAATCTGGCAGCTCTACACATCAAATGTCGCATCAAGGTGTCCTTTAAGCCCGATGCTAATGATCGGAATCATTGACCTGGTGCCAGGGCTCTGTCCCCTTGGTGGGTGAGAATGACTCAAATGTTAATACTTGGGGGATGTCCTTGGTATCAATAGTCCATCCATGCAAACTTACAGTCCAGCCATGGGACCGGTGCACAGGCAAATGTGCACCGAAGTGGTTTCTAGCTGTTTTAGTCTGTTTCAAATACTATTCTCCAAATGTTGGCTCTGTGTTGTCTTGTGCGCTTGGACCTGGAAGCCGTTTGGATGGATCAGTCTGCTCAAAAGTTCCGATTCCTCTGGAATTCATCGCATTCTCTGTGCCGACATCCGGAGTGGCTTGTGGTGCAGAGGGTTTATATATACCCATCTCTTAACATTCTCCTTCACGCTGCCTTCCCTACTCCGGTTGCAGTTATTTCACATAAGATACTCTTGCTGCTGTCATGAACACTTTGCAAGTCTATTGCAAACACTCCAACGCGTGTCTGGCATGAAGCTTCATCCGAGTATGGAAAGCTTGCATGCTGTTCATGGTACTTCCAAGCCTTTGTTATTGGAGAGTCCTTGCGAGGACATTGCAACTCGGGTTTCATGGACAGACGGTTAATGAATGGGGAATCGTCATCAATGATGTTATCTCTCTGTGCAGACTGGAATACCAGGCCTGTCCACTGACATCGATCAATTTGGCGACTCCGAAGTGTGATAGAAACGAGGCAGTCAGATGTTGGGGTGGGAGAGTGACCAGGCTTGTCAGGAGCAGGAAGCAGGAGACCATCATCGACAGACCTGGGGCAATCTTGCTCCTAATCACCACACCATCCACAACCACTATTACTCTTCGACCACCAGCCCGGGAGTCTCCAAGCTTCATATGAAAGGTCCCGTTGAGTTATCCCGAACGCATGCATTCTGGCCTCTCATACTGACTGACAGAAGGGGTGCTTGTTGTGTGGGAATTAGAGGATGTCAAGGCTGTGCACCTACTTCACAATCCAGCTAGGGGTACCGTGGTTCGGTTCGGTTCAGTTCAGAGGTAGAATCCCACGAACCTGAACCCGAACCGGTTCGAAAAGAGGATGGGAAGGCCGAACCTGAACCGAACCATGGTTCAACAACAGTTCGGTTCGGGTTCGAACCGGTTCAAACAGACACCTATAATGAGATGTATTTACAGCGGAATTAATATATTGCAAGAAGTATTATACATCCTCTGCATGCTTTGCTGCCTCCTTAGCCTCATATTCTTTCCACCTTTTGAGTTGTTCTTGAGCAGCCATTTCTTTTGCGTCCTTCTTTTCCTGCTGATATCGTAGCAGGTTGGCTTTGGAGATCTGAATCTGGCCAAGGTGTTCAGGTAGCAGGCAATTGCGGCTCCCAGTATCGGTATGCTTAGCTGCTGAGAATGCCCGCTCACATGGCACGGATGATCCGGGGACTGGAAGAATGTCCCGTGCCATTGTTTGCAACACTGGATATGCGGAGCCCCTGTTCTATGTATCATAGAGCCTGCTGAGTGTGATGCAAGGATTTTTAAAGTTAATATACGTACCTTCCAAAAATCCAGCATATCGGTACCAGGTGGTTCAAGAACATCACTCATGTAGCGATTCAGCTCAATGTATGGATCGCCAGCCTCAATCTCTTGAGTACGGCGCATCCGGCTGGCAGCAAGACGACGTGATATGGCAAATGTTTGTGACACAGATGACACCGATGTTGACAATCTCGTGGCCTCAGGTGGAATAGTGCTTCCTGAGGACTGAGTCACAGGAGTGATGTGGGCTTGATGGTATTCAAGGAACTGAAAGCGGCTCAGTCAGGCCTGGGAAATGGGAAGTAAAAACTTACGATCTTTTGCACAGCATCCATTGCTTTTGGTTGATATTCTGGAGCCCAAAAGTACTTAATGTATGTATCTTTTGTTGCGGGGTCAAGGACTTATGATAAAAAAGACATTTGAATGATATGAGATGTATGATTTGGTGCATACTAGTACTCAGCACCGCTAAGGGCGATTCATCAGTGGCATCATAGTACTTTCCGAGGAGCGTAACTCCATCCTGAATTGCGCTAGATATCGCAGCAAAGGCAGGGTCTTTCCCTTTGTTCTCCCATGAGGTCATGAGCTCTTCATATGTGGAGAGGAGGCGGGAGAAACTGGGAATATCTGACCCTGAGAATGCTTGCTGTGCATTGCCAGCAACCTGATTACATGCTGTCATAAATATAATGGGATCTTCCTAGTGAAATTATATTGCTCTCGTACCTCTAGGATATCAATGATACACTGTATCATAATCCAATCCTCATCTGTGAATACCCATGATTGGTATTTGGGAGTTCGGCCTCTTGCTTTTGGGACAGAGCTTTTTCAGTCTGCATGCTGGACAAAATGCATAATCGCCTATATGAATAATCAGAACCTGAACACAATTGAATCAAAGCGTCATACTGGTCGTAATTGCACAAATCGCTTCAGGAGCATTAGCCAAGAGCCCCAGTGTGCATTCCCATACATTACAAGCTCCAATGGTGCAATGCCAACTTTGTTGCAGCACTCTTGTAGATAGTGTTTTGCACCAGAGGACTTTCGAATCTAGGAGTAGAAACAGGTGAAATATTATCGTGGTTGAATCGGTTTTCACATACCCGCACAATCAAGGCCCGGACACGGGCCAAAAGGGGACCAACCAAATGCTCCCGGTCATTCGGTAGCTCCAGTCCGGCAAAACTCAGTATATTAACATCTCCAGTATCTTCCCCATCTGCTACCTCCCTGAATTCGGATGTACCACCAGCAAGCACACATATAACAGCGCCAATGGCCAAATTAACAATGTGGCCCATACACCTGCTCAGCTTTTAACATCGGATCAAGCAATAACATTAACTGGCCACTCACCGGACACAATGCCACGATGGATCCCACTTAATGTTATCATCTTCACTGAGAATCTCGCTGATCACACGCATTGCAATGTCATTTGTTGATGCATTGTCTGAAGCAATATACCCAATCTATGTATACAGTCCTTAAATTTTTGAGGGAACGGAAGAATAATAAAGTGCGAACCTTTGATGTGGGGATCATTTTTTTAATTTCCTTCAACAACCGCCGACCAATGTTGTCCCCAGTATGTGGACCATCCAGCTCACAAAAGGACATGAGGTGAGAACGCATCTTCCAGTTGTTGTCAAGGAAATGGCAGGTGATACCAAGGAACCCCTTCATCGTTGCGGAAGTCCACGCATCAAAGGTGAAATGAATGAGTCCGCTGGTGTTCTGGGTGGAATGTGGCTCTGAAAACTACTGATTGAGAGTCTAAGGTGGGCGTACCTTAAGCTGGTCCTTCAGTAAGGCCCTAACCTGTGTGGAACGATCCAGAATGAGTGTCTCCATTTTCGTGCGATGCGGTAAGTCGCTGTCCTTGTACTTTGGCCCACTGTCTAGCCCTGCCCATGCATGGTAGGACATGAGATCCCGGAAGGAATGTGAGTCTACGAAGTCAAAGCCCTTTATGGTTCATGTCAGGTTGCTGATTCGCAACATGCAGATGAGAAACTTACAAGGTCATGCTCAATTATGAGATTTTCCACTAGGTGGAGCATACCCTCTGAGGACCACATCTCAGCGTCTGGAGCATTCGCAGGTGGGTAGAAGTTTGTTATTCATTGCTGGATTTGTCTACCATTGACACCAGCATTGCATCAACATTTGACGATATTATTGATTTTCAATGAATACAAACTTCTCTGCCAGGAGAACTTGCTTCCGTTGCTCCCGCACTCCTTCTGGGATAGCTCTTCTATCTGGTGATATGTCTAGTTCAATGCAATGCCGGAGGTAGAGTTCCCAGTGTTCACCACCCATACGGCTTATGTGTGTTCGGAGCATACTTGAGCCTGAGTTTGCGGAGAAACAAATCTTCAAATCTTTCATGTGAGAACCACGTTCATAAGTGGCTCTAGGAAAATAAGCTAGCATAAGTATTTGCTTTAAGGATGATTTATTCACACTTACTGGCACACTTGGCAGACACGGACAGTTTTCCCTTCAATCTCCACCAAGTCAGTAAATACTGATGATAAATCATGCAGTCCGCGCATTTTCTTGGACTCGAGAAACACCTGCACAACAAGTGCGTCCTGCTCTCTGAATACATCTGTGCTTTCCTTAGCACCTGGAGCATCATTGACTTTGTCATCTCCCTCACTTCCTTTGCTCTGAGCTTCGTCATCCGCATTTTTATTCTGAGACCTCATGCTGTCTGCTCTCTTGTGGGCTTGGCCTTTCCTGTGTTGCTTCCTACGCTTCTGGGGAATGTTGTGAGGCTCAGTCTGACTGTCAGAGACATCGGCATCAGACTCAGTGGTTAACAGTGCATGGGACAAAACGTTTTTCCGTCTCTTTCTGGTGTTACCATGGTAGGCCGACAGTTTCTTGTTATTCAGATTGAACCCGAACTTGGATAATGATTGCAGTGTTGCTTGGGATGCATTTCCACTGCTGCCTGGTTGATTGGAATTTGCTGAAGTGCCAGCCCTTGTTTTTGCAGCAAGTTTTTGTCGCTGAAAGACATCAAGAGGATTTTCTCGTGTCACCAGCTTCACAGTGCACTTTGGTCTCCCAGTATCCTTGTTACGGATACGGAGTCTCCAATGACCATATCCGTCGCATGGTCAAAGACTTCTCCTCTCTATCGTTCCTCCCCTCTTTCTCCCTTCCGTCCTCTATCCCAATACCCTATCCTCCTTACCCATTCTACCCCTTTCCCCCCCTCATGCAAAGCTTTCCCCATTGGGGTTTTGGTGCTGGCCAAGGTTACTTGTGTTTCGTGGGATTTCCCGCGACCTTACCATTTGTAGATAGTCACACATCTTGTACGGAAACCGCTGAAGGCGGTTCCCGCTAACTAACAACTGCTCTACAACTGTCTCGTGTATCGTCTTCTGTAACAACCCTCCCTGTGACTCAACTGAACCCGTGTGATTGTACAACTCTCAATATGTCTTATAAGTCTGGTTATATCGAGTCCTCTAACGGCCCTTCGCCGTGAGAACTCGAGGTCGCGAGTCGAAGACTCTCGACATGTGTATCGTCCTATTGAATCTGTACCCTATGGGTCCTCGTCACTCCGCTCTCCCCCCAGTACTCGACATACGACGTCACATCACGATCATGGAGATCGTGAATACTCTGAGGCCCACTTTCCCGTGATGCCGGCACATTCGCTACGCGAACACCAAGTCGCCACCCATCCACCATCTGTTCCCTCCTTCGTCAGTCATCATGTTTCCCCGCCAATGGTACGTTCCCTTTGGGAACGCCAAGTCACCGAAGGCCCTATTAGTCAGTCCTCATTGCATGCTTATGATATCAACCCGCTACCAGTATGTTCGCACTGCGAACGCCAAGTACCCGATGGTGACTATACAAAGTTCTCACCCATCTCACAAGTCATGACCTCGCACACGGTATGCTCCATTGAGGAGTGCCAAGTACCTGTGGCTGACCCGTCCGTCCTGGCATCTCCGACTACCTACCATCAATCCCTTAATAGCTCACTACATCACCAATCGCGATCGATGGGAATTCGATCATCCACTCCCAGGCAAGACTGGGATCACTCATCGATTACATATCCCGTTATGGTACAGACCAGATATGACCTTCGTCATCCCACTATAAGAACGGATCGAGGAATGGGGAATTTCCCCCATCCCCGTAACAATCCTGAGCCCCTTGCAGAAATCCTGGTAAGTCACTATCGATAATATCTCCTTGTGGACTGGAGATGCGTGGTACTTCATCTGATGGACTATACACAAATTGACCTGGCTGTTTGGCAGCATCATGCAGATTCCCATCAGGGCCGAGCATGGGATTATTCGGGTCGGTATGCCATCCGGTGTCACTACCATCGCAGGAAGAAGTCATACCAGTGTATCCAAGTACCAGCGAAGTCCGGAGCGTGGTGGCAAGACAGTAAAGACGTTTATGAGAGTAAATATTCTATTTGTTTTTTCTCGGACATCCCCGTTCTCTCTGTTGACTGAAACTAGTCTGCTTCATTATATTTAATCATATATGCATACAAGATGTGGGACAGCAATACATTTTCCTCTCTGAAATGCATCCAGTCGTGATGTGATGGGGTCAGGTCAACACCTGATTTATGAAACGGTTCGGTGGTTCAGTTCGGTTCGAACCTGGTTCACAAAATTCCAACATCATAGAGAACCCGAACCAAACCATCTCTGAACCAAGGCTGAACCGAACCGCGGTTCTGGTTCATCCTGGTTCGGTTCATGGTTCATTCACGGTTCGAACCGGTTCACCGTGAACTTCGGTACCCCTAAATCCAGCAATGTGTTGAACTGTTCAGTCTTGCTCAACCACCACCACTTGCTGAGAAAATTATGGAAAATTTACCGAAGAAAGCCAAATCATTGCAGGGTCACCGACCTTCAGGGGCGCCTTCTCTCGAGCCTCCGTCAGACGATATCAGGGGAAGCACCAAGGGAGGCAAAAGTTTATCATGCCCTGTCTTTGGTAAAGAAAATTATGGGGAAATTCTCCAAGGGTGCCAAAACATTGGAAAGTTGCCAAGCTTCGGGGGTGCCTTCTTTCGCGCCGTTGGACGACACCAGTGCAGGCTCCAAGGGAGACAATAAGGGTGGAAACTTACCCAGCATGTCTTTGGCTAAGGGGATCAAGGGGATGTTCTCAAAGAAATCCAAATCGTGGAAAGATCATCAAGCTTCGAGGGTACCTTCCGCTTCACGCTTGCCGTCTCCTGCAGTCGACACCAGGGGAGATGCCAAGGGAGGCATCGGGGGCGGCACAGGTGCCGGATCCGTCCGGAAAGGTGTTCTGAGCGTGCTTCGTGTCGTGCATGCGAGCCTAGATGGTGTCCCTGTTCCTGGCCTCAAAAGTGTGATTGGTGGTTTGCTTGAAGTTGTTAGCCAATTAGAGGTGCGTTCTGCCAAAGCGGGTTAATGGGAACATTATACTCCAAACCTTGGGTGTCGTAGAGAGTCGGAGCAAATGCCAAGGCGATTCATCAGCTCCAGAACAGCATCGAATTCTTTGTTCACTCAATATCGGAGCCTCTCAAACAATATGGTGCCAAAAATCCTGTTCCTCACGGGATTTCTAGAGCCATCAAGGCTGTATCAACATATGTTTATGCCTCCGGCTGCTTCTCAGGGTCAGGACAATCTGACCATTTCAGTGAAATCGCTGCGACCACCACACCATCGCAATCATATCTAGACAAAAACCCTGCCTGCCTCTGGGCAAATTGCGACAAAATCGAAGGGGATGTTTGCCTGGCTGGAGAGAGGATACGTGATGCCTTGATGGCCTTTCAAGTAGCTAACCCTCTACAAAGCATACACGATATGCTAAATGTGATTTACATGGATGTAGGCTTCGCAAGCGATTCAAGTCCATATAGGAATGATAAGTGTCAGAGACCAGGTTCGAGACAAAGGAAAGTCTCCGTGGCGGAGGGCTTCGGCCTCAGCGACTTATGCCAAGAGCGCTGTGCCTAGTGACACGTCCGTGCCCTAACTTACTAACTGGCAATTAGAACTGAAGGGGGATAACTCTAGTCGATTTTATTACTGAAGTGTAACCTATGTACAAGTTGGATATATATATGGTTACAGCGCAGACGGGTCCGCAAATGGCGGAGCCGAACGGAGCGGAGCTAACAGGGTTAAACATTAGCCGACTGAATATTACCGACGAGTCAGGTCGCGGGGTTAGCGGAAAGGCAGGCGATAACCCAGAAATGGAAAGGAGGGATAGGCCCGAAGGTGGACTCTGCAGGGCAGGTGAGTGTATTGCCCAGCGGAGGCGGGAGTGCGCTAGCGGACGTCAGAGCTGTCCGGAAGTCTTCGGGGCTCCGTACTTAGGGAGGCATAGGTAATAAATTGAAAGGAGGGGGTGGTGACCATCGAGGGGTACTGAGAGGATTGTGGAATACGGGAGCTCCGAGGTTAGTGAGGAAGGAGCGGAGGTAGACCGGAGGGATCGGAGGGATCAGAGGGACCGGAAGTCGATGGCCGGGGATGGATATGACACTTGCACCGTGTATGGTTGGAAGCCCCTCTGAGGAGGCTGGGGGTATGCAGTGCCTGTTAGCAACACAGATGGTTGTTGGTTTGCGGCACTCATTTGTGCTGCATGCGTCGTGTAGTCCATGGCGCTTATCTGTGCCTGGTGTTGTTGTTGTTCCAGGGAGCCTTGCTCCCCAGGTTGTCGTATTTCGATGTCCGGTGGCTTGTTTGGATCGAACTGAGGGTTACCTCCCCCAGAGAACGACATTTTGTCGTTATGTTTCTCGTGGTGGTGGGAGGGGTTTTCGTTCTTGTGTGCGTGGGATTTGCCGCAGTTGTGTGTTCTTTTGCATGTGAGCCTGTGGTTCACATGGTCTAGGCAAGTTACTCGCCTAGCCCATGTGATCTCTAGTACATGGTGTGGCTGTCCGGGTGAGTTACTTGCCCAGAACTTTCCCACGCTCTTGGCTGTGGGCCATCGTCCCTTGGCTTTACTTCCTCCGCCTCCGTTTTTGGGGGCATAGTGATGCCGAGAGTTCCCTGTCTTCTTTGATAGGGAGTTTTTCTGGTTCCCTTACATTTTGTAAGGTGAGGTACTCATCCAGGTGGATGAGGTCGTTGCAATTTCCTAGGGGTTCCCATGTGGTGTCCCCTAGTTCCCATTTGACCTTAAACCAGAGTTCATTGTGAACCCACATGTGGTTTAGGATTTCGCGAACTACTGCTTCGCGATCAGGGTCTTCCCCAAAATCGTAGAATATGTTTACTTCCCTATTTGGGAAGATTTCCTGGTCATTCGGCTCGTGAGGTACGAGCCGGGATACGTGGAATCTTGGGTGGATTCCGTGTTGTTCGAGTTGTGGTGGCAACTTGAGGACGTAGTTTGACGTCTCTGGAAATGTTTCCAGAATTTCGTAAGGCCCTATGTATAAGGGCTTTAGTTTTCCTGCCCTCCCTTTGGGTAGGTTCAGCTTATCCGTGGATAAGTATGCAAGCTTGCCTTTTCTCAAAGGTGGGTCCAGGCGTCTTTTCTTATTCACCTGGATTGTTTGAGCAGCGCGATTGTGTATTATCGTGTCGTGTGCTGCCATGAGGTGTTCCTTCACTTTTTGGGCGAAGTCATTTACTCCCGGGTAGTCCGAGAGTGGTGCTGTTAGGCACATCTTTGGCATATGGCCGTAGATTCATTCGAACGGGGCAAATCCTGTCAATGTGTTCGAGCTCACATTGATCGCGAATTCCGCCATCGACAGTTTCGCTGCCCAGTCACGTTGATCTGGTCTAACCATCGCATGTAGTATTTGTACTACTTTTTGTATCATTCTTTCCGCTTGGCCGTCGCCTTGTGGGTGGAATGCAGTTGTGAATTTCAACTGCACACCGAGTATTCGGTGTAATTCGCACCAAAATTTTGACGTGAATTTCGAGTCTCAATCTGATATGATCGAGTGTGGTAGACCGTGGAGTCTTACAACTTCACGAAGAAATACGAATGCTAGTTCTAGTGTGTTCATTGTTGTCTTTATTGGAATTAGGTGGACGTTGGATGTCAACCTACAAATGATTACCCAGAGGTAATCATATCCCAAGCTTGTTGGGAATGGACCTGTGAAGTCCATGGCTATTGACCACCATGGTGTCTCTGGGGTCGGGAGTGGGTGAAGCATTCCGGGATTTCTCCTGGTGCTTTTCTTTGTCGTTTGACAAGTTCCACAAGACCTACAGAACTTGTGGGTATCCTTCCTCATCGACTTCCACCAGAAGTGTCGATGGAGGGTTTCCACTGTTTTCTTGGATCCTAGGTGTCCAAGTGTTTCGTGGATGTTCTCGAGGATTATTCCTCGAATGGACTTCCTTTTGTAGTTCCCTTTCGGGACTACTATTTGGGTCGTTCCTCCTTCTCCAAGTCGGGTTATCAGCCCATCTTTTACAGAGAAGTTTTTGAAATTTCCCAGGTTCTCTAGGATTTCCCAGTGGATCTGGCTTTTTGAGTATCCAGATTTTATTGCCTCAATGAGGTCTTTCTCTTCGAATTGTTTTCGAAGGTTCTCTTCTGGAATTATGATTTCTTCCAGATTTTGGGTGCTCCCCCTAGAGTTCCTCTAGGTTATCGCTCCCCCTAGAGCTTCCTCTAGGGTATTTCTTGTGCGTATCGCTGCGAGTCTCTTTCTCTCTGAGTTTTTACTCAGGGTACTGCTTAGTAGCAGTTCTTTGTATTCCTCGATTCTGTCAGGGATAATGTCTTCTGCATTTTTGTCCAGGTGGATGTCCGCTGACACATAGTTGTCGAAATGCAGATCCTCATCCGTTGACGAGTCGTAGTATCGTGAGAGTGCATCTGCCACTTTGTTCTTGTGGCCTTCCACGTATTTTATTTCGCAATTGAAGCTTGCGAAAAAGGCTTGCCATCTCAGGTGTCTACCTGAGTTGTGGTTTTTCGCTTTGAAATATCCAAAGCTTTGTGGTCCGTGATTACTGTGAATTCACGGCCTCCCATGAGGTCGTCTTGCCATCTCATGAGTGCTTCAAGGACACCCAGTGCCTCAAGCTCATAGGCAAAGTACCTACGTTGTGTGTTGGTGAACTTTTTGGACATGAATGCGGCCAGGCGGCAAGTCTGCCACCTTTCGCCTTGTCCAATTAATGCACCCATGCCTGCTGGGCATGCGTCTGTTATGACCCAGACATGGAGTTTGGTCCTCTCTTCTTCTGAGAGGCTTTCCGGTGGGTTCCACTGGACGGGCTTCAGGATCGGAGCCCTGCATGCTAGATGTTTGATCTTGTCAAAGCATTTCTGGTGGAGTGGTGTCCACCTGAATGTCTGCTTGTTTGAGCAGATTGTTTGCAGTGGTCCTGTGTAACCGCTGACGTTTGGCATGAATATCGATAGATATTCTACCATTCCCAGGAATCTTAGGACTCCTGTGTGGTCTACTGGCTCTCGCCAGTTGCGGATTTTTTCCATTTTATCCACTTGAGCGTGGATGCCCTGTTCATCCACACGGCTTCCTAGAACGTCTAGGATTGGGGCAAATGGCTGGAATTTTTTCTGGCTTATGTAGAATTTCGCCCCTTTTAGGCGAGTGAACAACCACAATAGTGCTTTATTGTGGTTTTCCACCGAGCTTGTGCTGGTGAATATATCGTCAAACCAGACATGTAGGCATCTGCCTACTTCTCCTCATAGTTCCCAGGTCAGTGCGCGCTGGAAGGTGCAGGGAGCGTTGCAGTCTCCTTGCTGCATCGTGTTCGAGTTGAACATCCCGTGGGGCATAGAGAATGTCGTCCTATGGATGTCGTCTGGGTCCATGCGTATTTGTTCGTACACGTCCGACATATCGATCTTGGATCGGTATGTTGCTCTGGCGACTGATTCTTGGATCAGTTGCATGTCTGGCATTGGTGTGATGTCGAGGATCGTGTTTGAGTTACAATTCCTCACGTCTATTACCGTGTGCAAAGATCCATCTGCTTTGCGGATGCACAGTAGCGGGCATGCTCGCTTGCTGTTCGCAGGATACCACCATCCTGCTTTTACATAGCGATCTATTTTGGTCGCTAGTGCTTCCTGCAGTGCTGCAGGACATCTCGGGGTGTTTTCCCGAAATTTCTTGTTCGGATCCTTCAATGGGATTCGATGGTTCACCTCCCTCAAGGGAGGCATTTCTAATGGCGCTGGCACCATTATGGTTTCGAATTTTTCTCTCCACCACTCCCTGAGTGTTTCGAACTCGGGGTTGTTCATGGAGAGACCTTCCAGGTGTGGTACATCTGGAAGTTCTAGTCCTTCCGGACTAGGATTGGGCCAACCTTCAGGGTATTTTCTTTTGATTACCCTGAGGTGTGTTTCAATCCCACCTCCCTGTCAGGGGGGCTTCTTTTTTGGTTGTTCTCAAGCTCTTGCTCGAGTTTTCCATCCATGTGATCTCGTCACACGGTCTTCGCTTATTCCAAGGGTGTCTATGTTGCCCTTGTTCACCATTCTCACTTTGTGGGACTGGAAGTCTAAGCTTACCTGGTTTTTGTTTAACCAGGGGGTGCCGAAGATGGCGTCGTATCTGTCGATGTTGATTACATCGAAGTAGTGTTTTTCTACATGGCCGTTGATCTCAACGTCCACGTTTGTTCCGAACAGGATCTGTGATCTTGTTCCTTTCATCCCCATTTGAAGGATGACTGGGTTCTCCAATTGGAGAATTGGGATGTGGACCGCACGGACAAAGTCCGGCGATAAAGCGTCCATTTTGGCTCCACTATTGAATAGCGCATAGGCTTTTATGCCTGCTATTTTTATGTGAGCCGTTAGCATTCTCTTCATTGAGAGCAGTCTGTTTGCGGGGTATCTTCCCGCGTCTTTTGAGATGCGGAATTTTGCATCAAACAAGGGGGACTGGGTTTCAATGGACTTTTGGTCCTTCTTCCCTTTGTCCTTGTTTTCCTTGGGTACTTTGGTGTATTTCCCCAAGGCATCTTTTCTTGGTGCTTCCACCAAGGCTTCGGTGACTTTTT